TGTGTTATATTGTATGTCCATTTGCCACTAATACATGTCCATTGTTTGTCCATACGCCACTAATACATGTACATTGTATGTCCATATGCCACTAATACATGTACATTGTATGTCCATATGCTACTAATACATGTACATTGTATGTCCATATGCCACTAATGCATGTACATTGTATGTCCATATGCCACTAATACATGTACATTGTATGTCTATATGCCACTAATACATGTACATTGTATGTCCATATGCCACTAATACATGTACATTGTGTGTCCATATGCCACTAATACATGTACATGTACATTGTATATCCAATGCCACCAATACATGTACATTGTATGTCCATATGCTACTAATACATGTACATTGTATGTCCATATGCCACTAATACATGTACATTGTATGTCCATATGCCACTAATACATGTACATTGTGTGTCCATATGCTACTAATACATGTACATGTACATTGTATGTCCATATGCCACTAATACATGTACATTGTATGTCCATATGCCACTAATGCATGTACATTGTATGTCCATATGCCACTAATACATGTACATTGTATGTCCATATGCCACTAATACATGTACATTAATGGCGGATGGTCCTCGTTGCTGTGGTTGTAACGGAAGAGGTCGCTGTGTCTCATGTTCCTGTGTAAAGGCTGGAAGAAGTTGTTTCAGCTGTCTTCCCAAACATAATGGTCACTGTGACAACTTTTCTGTTCAGTCTGTTGCTCCAATAACACTAGAAGCCGATATAGTCAATATCAACCCTCCACCTGCTGTTTGCTGTGCATGTACTTATTACTACATATTTTTTGTGTTTTATCTGACATGTATTATGCTGTGTTAGTTTGTTGTGTTTTTTTTGTACATGTGTGTTGTGTACATGTATCATAACTTGTGTAGTTTTTCAAATATTTATGTTTAATGACATTGTATGTCCATATGCTACTAATACATGTATATTGCATGTCTATAATGCCACTAATACATGTACATTGTATGTCTATATGCCACTAATGCATGTACATTGTATGTCCATATGCCACTAATACATGTACATTGTATGTCCATATGCCACTAATACATGTACATTGTATGTCCATATGCCACTAATGCATGTACATTGTATGTCCATATGCCACTAATACATGTACATTGTATATCTATATGCCACTAATACATGTACAGTACAAGCCAATAAAAACTTCGCGTTCCGTTTACGTTGAACGGCCATTGGGCGTTTCAACGCTATATAAAAAACGTTTACTTCCGTTTATGGTCCGTTTTTCTATGGAGCACGTTTTTACGTTGGCTCAACGTTTTGTCCTTGCCTCCTTGGTTTTCTTTACTCCACAGATACTACTATGCTCGTTCTTGACTGCCACTCTGGAGATACTACTGTCATATCAGTTCAGCGTGGACCTCAACTCAAGGAGACGCTGTGTGAAGTCGAGGTGTGAAGTACTCGTGTCATTGGAGGACGGGCCACCAGGCTCGGTGTAGTCTAATTCACTTCAATTTATTGTGATAAGCATTAGTTATCAGTATCATTATTATATTTCTATCATTATTGTACTCTTACTTTCTAAAACTTGTAGTATATATATTGTAATTTTATTTCTTTATAAAAGATGCAAGCGTCATGCATTTTGATCTTGGTAGGCTAGCAGGTCTATAATTACATGATTTTATAAAATGATAATAATATAATAGCTGCTTCTTTGCTTGACAGAGCACTCTTTCTTGTGACTACTTCTTGTCGTCCTATTGAATCATACAACATGAGAATAAGGTGGGTGAATTATTAGTAACGCGGTAGCGTTACTAAGTAGGATTCACCCCCAAACAAAATGGCTGCCACGACATTTGCAGCCTTGCTATACTGGGAAAACGAGCTCCTATGCTTACCAGACTTCTTAGAGGACCTCATCTTGACCAGAGGACTCCATTGGTACCACTAGCGTGGCTCTAGACCTTGTCTAAGAGAAAATCCAAAAATCGGCGAACCGGCCGTTTTGTTCAGCCACCTTTTTTCATCTTCATCATCATCATCATCATCAAGTCAGAAGTCCTGTCAATCCAGTTGTCGGTGTGTATCTCAGTATTGGTTGGTGCTACAAGGATAATTCTTACACCAATCTACTCCAACAGTCTATGCGCAGGTCCATGTCCCATCAGATCATTCTTCAAGTGAGGAAAAAGTGATACTGTGACTGCTGGATCGAGCCATCTTAGCTGCATGCCGCCATTTG